TGGTGACACTGTTGGGTAAGTCCTAGACTGCCAACTACAAGGTCAATGATTCAAACTCACCAGTAGCTCTGAGGGAGACTGTCTGCTTCCATAAAAGTTTACAGGTTTAGAAACCTTATATAAGGTGACCATGAGTTAGAATTGACTTGATGGCAGTGGATTTGGTTTATTAGGTTTGGTAATTTTCCTGAGGAATTCTGGTGTGGTACTATAGGATACGCACTGAACTGGTAACCACAAGGTCAGTAGTTCAAACCCCCCAGCTGCTCTTCAGACATACTATATAGGGTCACTGAGTCAGAACCGACTAGATGGCGCTTAACAACTTGCTTGAGGTTAGTCAGCCAGTAGGGGGCAGTGTGGTGATGTCGATCTCTGCCGGTATGCCAGTCAAACCAGAGACTAAACTCTGCCACAGACTTTGTCTTATCTCCTCTTTCTAACCTTAATATGAGCCATCTAAGGTCCAGATTGCATGTCACACATGTCAAAGCTGAGGCTGGAACACATCTTCTCCCAGTTCAGTACACTGCTCACCACCATCCCTGAGATCCTTCCTACCTTGTGATCTGTCTTTTGTCCAGTTCCCATCAACAGTGAGGCGGCACACTCTTTGTAGTCCATAGTAACAAAGGAGACCGAGCCTGCACTGATACCGCCATCCAGGAGAGGGCAGTCATGTGCATAAGCAGGCCTGCCCCACCCAATGGCTCATCACAGACTTGATTCCCAGCTCACTGGAATGCTTGCTTAAAGTGGTAATTCTGAACCAGAGACAACGCATCCCCAGCCCTAGAAAATATTTGAAAATGCCTAGAGACATTTTTAAGGAGCTCTGGTAGTGTAGTTGTTATGAATTGGACTGCTAACCTCAAGGTCGGCAGTTCCAAACTATCAGCCGTTCCAGGAGAAAGGTGAGGCTTTCTGCTCCTGTAAAGATTTACAGCCTCAGAACCCTGTGCAGGGTCACTATGAGTCGAACTGATTCCATGGTACTTAACAACAAGAGACATTTTTAGAGTCCTGGTGTGGCACTGTGGGTTAATGTACTGCACTGCCAAGTCGGTTTAAACCACAAGGTTGGATGTACAAGCTTACCAACCGCTCCTCAGAAACCCTATACAGGGTTGCTATGGGTCAGAACTGATTCGATGGCACTTAACAACAATAAAGACATTTTTTGGTTATCATATGTGAGGAGGGAAGTCGGTGGGGGGGTGCCACTGGCACCTAATGGGTAGAAATCAGAAATACTGCTAAGCATCCTACAATGCACAGGACAACCCCCCCCATCCCCATAATAATCATTTAGTCCAAAATGCCAGTCAGCGCTGAGGTTGAGAAACCCTGCCCTCAAGGATAACCTACACAGCCTGATAGAACTGAGCCAGAGGAACAAACAGAAGATGGCTTCCATAAAATATGTTCAGAACAAGAGTGATCATGCCAGAATAACTTATTGGTTCTGCTCCTTCAGGGAATAACAAAGGTCTCAAGGCTTAAGTGGATCCTGACTTATGAGTTGCTCCACTTGTTGACCATTCCCCAGTGTACCGAGCTAGAATGTGTGTGGGTATGTATCATTGCCGGCACGGGGCAGCTGAGGGAAGTGAACGTTCTCTTTTAGCATCCCTGCCCTTCAAACATGCCTTTTGTCTGAGGAAACCAGTTTTCCTGATCGGTGTAATGTTGGCAGCCTGTTCTTGCAGAACTGTCATCTGTCCCAGGGACTCATGGACTTCGTAGAAGGAGCAGTGTGTTTGTCCCCTGGCCCACAGCACTTCTGATATTCATAGAGGGCTTCTCAAAGTTTCCGCTGACCGCATCATCCTCAATTATGTATTGTTTCTGAAGGGCCAGCTCATTTGATATTGAGTGTGCTTTTTATGAAACACACCCACTTTGGAAAAACATAACCATTTATCAGTACCTTACCTGAAACAGATTGCCTTTGAGCCCGAATGAGCCTAGTGTTCAATAAAATATTAACTTCTCTCTGTAAAAAGAGCTGCTCCACTATTCCTCACACTGTGATTCTTGTTTAGCAAAACTTCAGGAGTAAGGAAGTAAAACTGACTTCAGTCTGTGGAATCAGTTTTACTGTACAGCTTGATTATCTTCTACCACTTCCTTTGTACACAGATCCTATTGTGAATGACTAAAAATAGATGATAAACCTAAAATCAATTTATAGCTATGACAGGAAATATGACTCTATCTTTAAATGTTGTTCAGGTTGAGTTTCCAATGACCAAAGTGCTCATCCTCTTACTTACAATAAATTACTTAAAATAAGCCCGTTGCTGTTGAGTTGATTCTGTAAGACAGAGAACTGACCAGAGCTTCCAAGGCTGGAAATCGTTAAAGAAGCAGACTGACACATTGTTTTCCCACAGAGCACCTTCTGGGATTGAGCCAAACTATTGGTTAGCTGCTGAATGCTAAACTGCTGCATCACCAGGGCATAAATTATTTGAAAATCCATAGCAGGAAGACAGTGCAAATGTCTGCTAGGCTAATTTAAAGTCATCTTTTTGTTGTTGTTAAGTGCCATCGAGTTAGTTCTGACTCATAGAGACCCAGTAAAGGGTTTCCAAGGAACAACTGGTAAATTTGAACTGCCAACCTTGTGGTTCAAACCAACCTTGAGGCCCAGTGCATTATCCCACAGACTATACCAGGACTCCAGAGACATCTTTGGATGAGGGAAAAGGAAGCAGGAAATAGCCACATGAAATGGCACAGTGCTGTTGGGGCTACCCTGCCCACCTCAGATTGAAATGTAGTACTAGTAATTACCATCATTACATATGGAGAGATTTCAATAAGCCACGCTCTATAAAGACATTCACCAGCTGATCTCACTCTGGCATCACACCACCAGCAGGACATGAGTATTACAGGTAAAGATACCAAAAGTGTCAGCACCCAGAAAGCGTGACCATGCAAGAAAAGGGAAAGCTGATGTTTCAGATTAGGGTTAACACTCAGGTCTAGTGTTGTGAAGTGCCGTCGAGTTGGTTCTGATTCATGGAGGAGCTGTTGGTGGGTTTGAACTTTCAGCCTTGAGATTTGCAGTCCAGTGCTGATTCTACAGCAACACACCAGACCCAGTCAGTAGTTTACATGTGGTAGGAGAGCTTGCTTTTCAAACAAAGTCGGAAATGAGTCTTTTTGAAAAAACTAAGATCCTTGTCTCCTTTACAAATGGTTGGCAATGTAGGTTTTTATAACACAGTGCTAACAACTTTATATGATTTAATCCTAACGAGTTTTGTTTGCCTCACAAAGTGGAATGGTAGAAAAATTGTGGGATTTGGTATCTCATGTGTTCGGGTATGTAAGCAAAACAAAACAAAAACCAAACAAATGGCAACAACTACCCCTCCCACAGCACTCTCTACCCAGCTGGGTTCATTGCAAAGGCCACACGAAACTCAGAGCTACAGAGTTTATTAGGTAAATTGGTGGTGGTTATGTGCCGTGGAGTCAGTTCCCACCCATAGCGCCTCCTGTACAAGGTTTCCAAGGCTGTTAATCTTTACAGGAGCAGAAAGCCTCATCTTTCTCCTGTGGAACAGCTGGTAGTTTCCAACTGCTGACCTTGCGGTTCACAGCCTGATTCACAACCACTATGCTACCAGAGCTCCTTAGGTAAATTAACACCTTGCAATTGAGGGTCAGAAACACTTAGGGGCCAGTTCTTCCAGTCAGGACAGCCTCTCAGGCAGGCCTCTCTGGCCTCAGCCCCTTGTCCTGGCTGCTGCCCTACTCGGCTCTCTTGGGGCTGCTGATAAATGCCCAAAGGACACTCTATTCTGTGATAGTCTCAGTCCAAGGACACCTAAACTCTAGCTCCGTGGACCAGTAAACATACACCTAAGCTCTACTCTAGCTCTGTGGGCAAGCAAAACATACACACCCCACTCTGCAAAGAAGCCTCCTGCCCAAAGTCATTCTGCTTTATTTGCTCTGCGGACAGGGAAGCCCCCTGCTCTGTCTGGTGTTCTGATTCTTGGTTCTGCTACTGCTGCTCCGCCATTCCTCCAGTGCCTGGATTGAGGATGTTCAGTGCACAGGAATCTCAGGGTCCAAAGGACACACTCTTCTCCTGGCTCTCCTTCCTTTGTGGTAGTAAACTTCCCTATTCCTTGTTCTGAGATGGCTCTTTTTATGTGCATTAGAGTTACAAAATTTGCCATCACATTTAACTGTTAACCACTCACAGCTGAATAATATAATCCTATCAGCATCTTCCCCTACCTTCTCTTACCAGCCCCATCAGGAAAAAAAGTGGTTTGGTGGGAATTTACAAAGACTATGACTAGAAGAGACATTGAATAATTCACTGTAACACAAGGTGTATACTCTTATTCTACCAATAATAAGCAGTGAGACTTTACCAGAGTTACTTGATGCTTCCAAACCTCAGTCTCCAAGCTTACAATATAGGGCTAATGTCAGTATTAGTTATTGTTGTTGTTAGGTGCCATCGAGTCAATTCAACCCTGTGTACAGCAGAATGAAACACTGCTTGGTCCTATGTCAGCCTCATAATTATAGTGTTGTTGTTGTTATGTGCCATGGAGTCCATTCCGACTCATAGTGACCCTGTACAGGGTTTCTGAGGCTGTAAGTTTTTATGGGAACAGAAAGCCTCCTCTATCTCGTGGAACAGCTGGTAGTTTCGAAGTGCTGACCTTGTGGTTCACAGCCCGATTCGTATCCACTACACTACCTGAGCTCCTTATACTTGCATTAGAGTCTACATGAAGTATTTTGTAAATTGCCCGCTAATCCATCATTGCACTTAATGTGGTTGGTATTATTTGTTGACTCTGTGCTCTCAATTTTTCGTTTTTTTGTCCTGGAGATAGAGTTATGGTGGGTACTTCAAACTTTATGTTGGCTTCTATGAGTTGGTGAGACCTGTTGACCATGTTCCGGTCTTTTGCTTAGGTAAACACTGGTGTAAAGCATGTTTGTGTTTTAAACTTTAGGAGCTGCCCAGGTTACCGTAGGCGGCCAAGTGGAATATAAGCCTTTTTCGGGCATTCGATATATGTGGTGGTACCATTTAATTGGCCTCATCTGGACCAGTGAATTCATCCTGGCATGCCAGCAAATGACTGTCGCTGGGGCAGTGATTACTTGTTATTTCAACAGGTAGGTCCAATGTTTTGCTCTTTTTATTTTCTTTGTTTCATACTGTGTATCTCAAAAATGTGTCAGAGTTTTGACATACCCTTCTCAATGGGTTGGCAAGAATAAAAGACCACTTAAAACTGGACTTACTGTGCATTTGGTGGTAAGAAGATAAACCTATCACAGTTCTAAGGTTTTGCTAGAAAGTTCAGACAGAAACCAAAAAGGAAAGAATTGAAAGGTTATCTGAAAGGAAGCATTGATTTCTCATGTAAATATCCATTTTTATTGTTTTATTATGGTAAAATATAAAGAACAAAATATTTGCCATGTGCAAAACAATTGAACATTTTTCATATGTACAATCAGTGACATTCATTCAATTCCTCATGTTGTGCATCTATTACCACAAGTTGTTTGCAAATTATTTCATCACCATGAACAGAAATTTCATGTCCCCTAGCAATGATTCCCTTTGCCTTCTCCCTCCCACACCTGCAAACCAGTCAGACACTTTGATCTCTCTATATTGAGTGTTCTAGATATTTCATATAATTGGAATCTTACAATATTTGTCCTTTATGACTGACATATTTCACTCAGCATAGTGTTTTTAAGGTTCATCTATATTGTAGCATGTGTAATGACTTCCTTTTTTTCTCTATGGTTGGATAATAGTCCTTTATATATATACCACATTTTTCTTACTCCTTCATGTGTTGATGAAATTTAAGGTTGTTCCGCTTTGGGCTGTTGTGGCAAATATCCATTTTTATTGACTTCAAAATGTTTTTTAAAAATTACTGGTCTGTTTTGAACAAACTTCAGTAAGTTCTGTGAGCCTCATTTTTGTCCTATGTAAAATGAGAATATTTGGAAAGTAATTTTAAATCTTGAAGGGATTGTATGTCATTATAAATATAATTCATGTGCATGTGGATTCCTAATGTGGTGCTGTAGGATAAGCACCACCAACCGCTCCTTAGAAACCCTAGAGAGAGTAGCTATGAGTTGGAACCGACCTTGAGGGCACTTAACAACAAATTGTGCATATAAGTGGTGGTGGTGGTTATGTGCTGTGGAGTCGGTTCTGTGTAGAGTTTCTAAGGCTGTAAATCATTCCAGGAGCAGAAAGTTGCTACTTTCTCCCAGAGAGCAGCTGAGAGATTGAAAGTTTTTACCTTGTCAGCAGCCCAACTTTTAACCCACTCCACTACCAGAGATCTTTATATAAGGAGCTCTGGTAACATAGTGGTTACGAATCAGGCTGTGAACCACAAGGTCAGCAGTTCGAAACTACCAGCGGTTCCGTGGGAGAAGGATGAGGCTTTCTGCTCCTGTAAATAGTTACAGCCTCAGAAACCCTGCACAGGGTCGCTATGAGTCAGAACCGACTCCAAGGCACATAACAACAACAACAACAACTACCAGACCTCTTTATATAGGTTAAGTATCAGTGAATTAATGACTTATCTAAGTGTTCATACCCCATTGCTGGTGCTGTTGCTATGTACCGTCTAGTTGGTTTGACTCCTAGCAACTCTTATAGATCAGGTTACGAGAGCTGTAAATCTTTGTGGGAGCTGAAAGCCTCGTCTTTCTCCTGTGGAGCAGCTCGTGGATTCAAACAGCTGACCTTGTGGTTAGCACTCCAGTGTGTAACCCACTATGCTACCAGGGCTCCTTTATATCTCTTTATACCATCAAAGTAATCAAGGAGACACATACACACCTCTAAAGTCTTTTCCTCTTGTGTGTATGTATAACTCTCCATGGGCAAATGATAAGACTGCAGGCCAGAAGAGCATGGCCGGGACAATGATAGGGCTAGGCTCTGAACAGGAAGTTTACTTCCGATAGGACTGATCCTCCTCTAGCCTCTCAGGCTGAATGAGGAGATAAACAAGAGTGTCCATGGGGTTAAGCAAGTCAACCAGGGATGATTCAGCTGGAGAGCAGTTACCTCCTGGCGATAAAGAGCACTGTGGGTTTTAATATAATGGTGCTCTTTGGGAGCCTCCCTCATTAGAGACTCGGGAGGACCCACAAAGGGGCTGTTTCTCTTGGCATTGAGAACCTCTAAGTGGCTGAAGATGGGTGGTGTGTGTTGCTTGCTCCTGAGTTGGAGAGCAGAGATTATTTTCACCAAATTGGTTTCAGGTAGGACCTGTCTGACTACAGTCGTTATTGTGTTATCTTAAAATAACTACAGAAAGCATTTTCAATGAGGGCTTTTGAGTGGATACATCTTTTGGTTGGATTTCCAGTTGAGCATGTGCATTTATCTCCTGCACCCGCTTCCCTCCCCCCACCAAAAAAAAACTCTGAAAGTGTTCAAATGACGTAAACACACAAAGAACACAAAGACAGTGAGAAACAGAGAGGCAATGTCAGTGGATAAGAGACATCAAACAAAGGCTGAAAGGTGAAGACAGATGAATGCTAACTCAACACAGATGGGGGAGGGGAGGGAGATGGGGAACCTATAAAAGACCCTGGTGGTGCTGTGGGTTAGGCATTGGGCTGCTAACCACAAGTTTGGCAGTTTAAACCCACCAGCCACTCCACAGAAAAAAAGGTGAAGCTGTCTGCTCCCATAAAGATTTAGTCTCAGAAACCATACATAGGGTCGCTATGAGTCACAATCGACTCAATGGCCATAGGTTTGGGTATGCTTTGGGTGGGTCAGGGCATATAAATAAGATCCAGGCTGAATTGAGTCACAACATTTAGAAAACCTAAGGAAGTCGCGTATAAAATATGTATCCAGAGATTTATTTAGAAATCTTCCTTAAGGAGCATTAGACCCCCCAGATCCCTTCTCACCAGCAAAAGACAGGAGGTTTGCTCTTGGAAATGTTAACTCGAGAGCATCTGGTTTGGGGGCTGAGGCTGGGGCAAGGCTCTATACTGAAAGCCGAAGTTGTTGTTAAGTGCCGTCAAGTTGGTTCTGCCCCAAAGTGACCCTGTAGAGGGCTTCCTAGGAGCGACTGGTGAGCTTGAAACACCTACCTTGCAGTTCAAACCAACTTTGCAGCCCAGCGCGTTAACCCACAGCAGCACAGGAGGTAGGAAAGTTAAAGCCCAAGTACTGACTAGTGAGGACAACCCGCCGCCAACCCACATTCCAGTCTGATCTATATCCTCTAGAAGGTTGGAGAATAGTCTGGAGAAACTGTTAAACCCCAAACAAAAACTTTCAGGTAGTGTCATATGGTGGTCCTCTATGAAGTGACTTGGTACCTTAACTTAACAGGACAGGAGAGCTCACCAGTCAACAAGCAGTAGCTCTCAAGCAAGGTACACATGGGTCCGATTGTGCCTTCCCACCGATCTGCAGTGCACAAATTCACCTGCTCCCACCATCGTAAAGACATGGTTAAATCCATGTGAAATTGATCACCACAGATTAGCAAGGAGACAAAATTGCATCTGTGCTCGCCTTGCTTCATGCAAACTAGCACATAGGGCTGGTTAATTCACCCCTGCCCCTCACACGTAACTCCCAATTCACTATTAAGCACCACAGTCTTAAACAAATTACTTCTTCTTGTTGTTAAGTACTGTGGAGTCAGTTCCAACTGATAGTGACCCTGCACTGGGTTTCCGAGGCTGCAAATCTTTACGGGAGCAGAACGCCTCATCTTTCTCCCATGGAACCTCTGGTAGTTTCAAACTGCTGACATTGATTTTGGTTCCAACTCATAGCTACTTGAGGTTGGCAACCCGACTCGTAACCACTACGTTACCAGAGCTCCTTGTGCCCTGTATTAGAGCCCTTAAATTTGTCAGCTGGATGCTTCACTCTCCTCTCTAGTCCTCTGTGGCCATGTCACTGCCTCTGGGCCCAGGAGTCCCTGGGTCTTGCCGTATTGCTGGCCATCCAGGTCTCCACCCGGGTTCACAGGGGTCTATTGAATGTGGTTGGGCTCAGCTCACAACTGCTGACCAGCAATTATGAAACATTTGAAAAAAACAGTGGGAAAATAAGAAAGATCTCTTAGTAATTAAAAATAATATGGCAAAAGTCAAGAAAAATCTATTGAAGGATTGAAATATAAAATTGAAATCTTCCCAAAAGTAGAGCAAAAGAACACAGAGATGGAAAAGAAAAAAGATGAAAAGTTAGAAGGTAAACCCAGGAGACCAAATATTCGACAAATATGAATTCCAGAAATAGAGAACAAAGGAAAAAGAAGGAGGATGTTATCAAAGAAAAATTTCCAGGGCTAGAGGACATTAGTAAAGAGAAGATCCATCCCAGAAAATTAAAGAAGAGAAAACAGGTCACATGCAAAGGCAAGAATCAGAATGGGATTTAACTTAGCAACAACTTTGAATCAGGAAGACTGGAGCAAGGCTGACAAAATTTGGACGAAAGATTATTTTCAACCTAGAATTCTATACCTTTAGGTTAAGTACTGGACCATAAGGCTGGTTTGAACCACAAGGTCAGCAGTTCAAACCCACAAGCCACTCCTCAGAAGCCCCATACAGGATTGCTATGAGTCAGAACTCGATGACACTCAACAGCAACAATCACATCCATAAAGGGTAAAGGAAAATAAAGTCAGATTCAGACATGTGAAGTCCCAAAAGATTCCTCTGCCATATATCCTTTCTCAGGAATGAGTTTACCCACTGAAACTAATGAGCAAGCCAAGGTGGAAGACCTGAGTTTCAGGAAACCATGGCTCTAACACAGATGAGAGGAAGAACAGGGACTTCCCAGGAGGACAGTTGTGCAACCGGCATAGAAAGCAACCAGTCCACAGTGGAGCAGGAGGGCAGTGGACTTCAGGAGGGATGTCTCTGAGAACAGAAAGTGAAACACACAATATCAGAGGTGTTTGCTCATGGTGAGAAGTGTTGTACACTTTGGTGAAGCTTTTGGGAAGCCTATGGAAAACCATAGGGGAAAAAAAAGTGCAAAATAATTGTTAACTTCAGGAAACACCAAAAGTTGTGCAGAAAAGAAATGTAATTGAAGTACCTTACTTGGATCACTTTGAAGACTAAGG